CATTTCACAACACTGGGCTCCCTGATACTCACCTCCCCTTTGCTCCTCAGCCTGTCTGTGACATCCGGGCTGCTCAGCCAAGTCCACCAGCCGAGGAGCCAAGCCTCTGCCCCCCTCTTGTATTATATCACAGCTGCCCCATTAGAATGGCAAGAGACTTTACACACAAACATCTGTTGTGCGCTGTTATTTAGGTAATTAAACCAAAGAGAACTACAGGGAACCTCATCAGGTCTCTGTGCTTAAGTCTGCCCGGCAGGCAAGGCGGTGAAACAGTTATCATTGATCCGCTGCCAAGGTGGGTCGTTTGAACAGTTGATGTAGTTTCATCGTTTCATTCCAGACTGTGATGCTCAGTTCCTAAAACTGGTTGTCTTGGTGACATCACTCAGAAACACAACAGCAGCCTTCCTTAGTAATTATATGCATACCACTGGAAGTAGGTTTTATTGAACTCTGTGGAAGTTACTTCCAAGTAAGCCTGCATAATGGTACTACTGTATTGCTGCCTGTTGTTTAGCAAATCACCTTCAAACCTGTCTCCAAGCCAAGCCGCGACTTCGCCCTAGGCAGTGGGGTGGCAGCAGGACTGGCTGAGGAATACTGCACTCTCACCTTCAGCCTGGAACCCGCACATTTGCTTATTCAAGATAAACCATGGATGGCTTAGCATTACGTGTGAACCATGCCACTGTCTCTTCCATGTCCTGAGACACGGTGCATTTGCAGCAACCTGTACACCACCACACACCTAATAACCCAAGAAATCATCCTGTTCCAAGTCAATTCAGGAAACAGCGGAGCAGGTGAGAGGTTCTCTCCTCCATGAAGAAGAGGAGGAAGAAGAAGAGAACGTCATAGTGCTGGGCTGGGCAGAGAGTTTTAAACCTCTCAGCACCATTATAGTAAGGGAAAAGATGCCCTCTTTAGAGGCATCATTTGAACAGTGGAGTGGAAGTGATTTTCCTCCCCATGGCACTCAGTGAGGCTTGATGTGATATGACCGTTCCGGGAAAACAAAGTTAAGTGCAGCCAGAAGGAACCTTTAGCAGCTGTAAAGGAGTAGTGGAGGTAGCCTGGGTCAGGCAGCATGGCCAGGCAAAATGCTTAGGACCAAGACTTTTGCCCTTCTAAAATGAAAGGGAAAGGGGACTGAAGGGGCACTGCTGCAAGCACACCACAGTGGCCCTGGGGAGCATGGAAGGGCTGTGTTGCCTTTCCACATGCGCTAGAATGTGAGTTGGCCAGGCCCACCATGCAGCCCTCAGACTGAAAAGGGCTAGGCACTTCTGGAAGAAAGGGAAGGCTGACAGAGAGTACATATGAAATATCTTTGTATAAAATGTAAGTCACTTAGGGGTCAGTCAGTTTGAGGGCTGCACGTCTCCCTTTCCTCTGGTGCTCTGGAGTTTTATGGAGCCTATAAAAGTTCACACTTAGTGACAACAAAGGAGGTTTGCTTAGCTCTGCCTGAGCTCTGATTAGTTTCCAGGATGGATTTGTTTTATTTCATTTAGGAACAATTTAATATTATGTAATGAAAGGATGCCGTCAACATGGCAACTCTGGTTACAAGTCACAGATATTTCAACATTCTGGGTGCCAAGCCAATTTCAGGCTGAGCCAAGGGGAGTTTATCCATCATTACATGGTGTCCTCCTCACCATATTTTGTAGCCATAAAGTGGCATTCACTGCTACAGAATGTGATGTAAAGGAGAATGGCATATAGTCCCCTCGTACCTACGGGACCGCCTCTCCTGGTATGCCCCACGGAGAGCCTCAAGGTCCATAAATAACAACACCCTAGTGGTCCCGGGCCCTAAGGAAGTCAGATTCTTTCCGCAGGGCCTGTAAGGCAGAGTTGTTCCGCCTGGCCTTTGGCTTGGAGCCAATTTGATTCCCTCCCTCCCTCTCTTTCTTTTTTCTTTTCCTTCTCCTCCTGCAATGAGGCTACATTTTAATATTTTAATGTTGTATTTTATTTTTGTTTTTAAGTTGTAATCATTCATCTTGTTTTTATTATTGCTTGTAAGCCGCTCTGAGCCCGGCCTTGGCTGGGGAGGGCGGGGTATAAATAAAAAAATACTATTATTATTATTATTATTATTATTATTATGCCACAAAGGTTTTGCTCTGTCAGCAATGTTTGGTACTGTTGTAGCTAACTTTTCCTGATGTGCAAGAGTCTCTTCCAGTGTCTTTACTAAAGAGATGCCGTTTTGAAACTGAGTCAGTATGTGATTGGGAGGTGAATATATTTACTATCTAATAGGTATTTTCCACACTAAATATAGAACTCAAGCCTCAAATGGGGTGTGGAGAGTGTTGATATTTTCACCCCCTCCCATTGCAAGAATCTCCTGATCTGATGTTTTGAGAAAGGAGGGGGCGGGAACTGCTCTTCTACTCTTCCGCTCCTGACTGCCTGCCTGACTCTGTGTGTGGAGAGAGTCATATCTATGTAGTGACTAGATGGCTGAGTGGGAGATGTAACACTCATGCAAGCCGGTAGTTCTTTAGTTTGTAGTAGCTATTAGAAATAAAAGAAGTTATGCTTCACAGCTAGCTTCCGCGTTATTTATACGCCGCATGAGTCTGGTGCTCACAATGCCCTGAGACCTGTTTTCCAGGATTGGAAGGTCTCTGGAAGTGCTCCAGTCGCCTAGCCCAGTCGGGGCTGAACCTGTTATTGAGCCCAGTCGCTGCACATCGGTTGAAAGGCATACTGACAGTGTCTTCAAGCAGTTCCAGGGGGCATAATTACCATTTATCTCCCCCCCCAAAAAAAAAAACCCCTTTGGGACCATGTTGCTGTGCCTTGAAGTAACCTCATTCTGGGGGCATTGTGGGAGAGAACAATGACAGTCAGCAGAAGAAGAAAAAAATTGTCCAGCTACCAGCTGCAAGCGTGTACCCCAAAACAGTTTGCCCATTTTTACTCTCCCACAGCGTAAAACTTTTTTAAAAAAAAAAATCCAAAAAGGTAGAAATAATTCTAACCTCTACTTTGCAGTGTTCGTAGTTTGTTGAATTGGACTTAAAGGCTTTTAAAAATTCCAGGCTGAGAATAGCATCTAAATGCTGCTGGATTAGAGTCATGACAGATAGGACTTCACCCAGGAGGGAGGAATACTGACCCTGCCCAAAAACGCATTTTTCCTTGCTTTGGACAAGGAAAACTAAAGTTTCCTTTTTTGTAAGCTGCTTTGAGACATGTGGTGAAAAGCATGGTGTATATTCTAAAAATTTAAATAAATAAAAGCTGAAGTTTTGTGTCATTTACGAATTTGGGACCAGCCAACAACAGGAAAGTTTTGAAGCCTGCTTGTTCCTGTGTGCTGTTAATTAATCAAGACAAATGAGAAAGAAATGTGGTAACTGTCCATCAAGACAGCAATGTTCCTTAGCTATCAGCTTTTGACCTTGCATGTTCCACGTGGGTAAGATCTTCACTGTGTTTGAAGATGGAAGTGGTGAGAGACCAGCCTGGAAGGGCAAGTTGGCTGTATCCTGGAAGGCAACTCATCATCCTGCTCTCTCATTGATATCTCAGGGCCACTATTACTTTGCAGTTAGCTGAGGTCTCAAAACATATCTGGCATTTTCCTATCACAAGGCAGAAATTAGAAACATAAATAACTGAGCCCAAAACAATAAATACTGGTATATAAATATATATTTGTAGAAATTGAGTGTCTTCTTCCATTCTTCTTCTTCTTCTTCTTCTTCGGTGATCACTTGAAGCCGAGTAAGATTGTCTTCCATAAACACGGTTTTAACAATGAGTCCGTAAGTGACTGTGGAGGCCAATTCTGGATCCACACGTCCTTCCACAGTGGGGACATTGGTTTCCGGGTGGGAGTTGATCACAGTGTGGATTTGCCAAGCGTGCCTTCCTCTTAGCATGTTTCTCCCTTGCGTCCTGAGTTTGAATGTCTTCAAAGCCCATGACACCTTTGGTAAAGGCTGTTCTCCAATTGGAGCACTCGCAGGCCAGTGTTTCCCAAATTTTTGTGTTTATACTACATTTTTTAAAATTTGCCTTGAGGCAGTCTTTAAACCTCTTATGTTGACCATTACGCTTTCCATTTTTAAGTTCAAAATAGAGTAATTGCTTTGGAAGACGATAATCAGGCATCTACACAACATGACCAGTCCAACGAAGTTGATGTTGAAGAATCATTGCTTCGACACTGGTGATCTTTGCTTCTTCCAGCATACTGGTATTAGTTCGCCTGTTTTCCCAAGTGATGTGTAAAAATTTTCGGAGACACCATTGGCGGAATCTTTCAAGGAGTTGGAGATAGCATTTATAATCTTGAAGACATGAGGTCTTCCTGGTAGTACATGTGAAAAGGATCTTGTGGTCTTAGAAGACACAAGCTTAACATGAGTCAACAGTGTGGTGATGATGTTGATGTAAATTTAAATTTGTACACCTCCCTATACCCAGAGGTCTCAGGGCAGTTCACAAGATAAAAATCACAATCGCTAATGCTATTCTAGGCTGCATCAACAGAAGTATAGTGCCTTGCTTAGACCACACTTGGAATACTGTGTCCAATTCTGGGCACCACAATTTAAGGATGTTGACAAGATGGAATGTGTGCAGAGGAGGGCAGCCAAGATGATCAAGGGTCTGGAAACTAAGCCTTATGAGGAATGGTTGAGGGAGTTAGGAATGTTTAGCCTGGAAGAGAGGAGACTGAGAGGAGATATGATAGCTATTTTCAAATATCTAAAGGGCTGCCACATGGAGGAGGGAGCAAGCTTGTTTCCTTTTAATTTCAGGTCTGCACTCGATGTGTAAACTTGCAATAATAAAACCAGAGATTTTTGAAAATTCTAATGTTTCTTTTATTTTTTGTTTCTAGTTTCATAGAAAACAAAAAGTAAACTTTGATCATAATCAACTTTGTACATATTATTAACTTCCATAGGAGTTAAGCTTCCCTTTCTAAAATAAATATTTCTGTTTAAGCACAGAAAAAATTACATTAAAAATCAAGAAAAGGGAAGAAAAATAAACAGGGGATTTCTGTTTGCTGTTGTTTTCCAGTCTGAATGGCGGAACATTGCTCAATCCTCTAAATGGTGCCGTGTTAGCTAATTGGTACAAGACGGTTTGGCAAGTTGCTTTGCTGGAAAAATTAACAAATGACCTACATCTGATTAATGCTGTTTATGTAAGCAAAGATGAAATACAAATGCATATACCAGCAGCATACAAAACTTTCTGGCTGCTATGAACCTTGTGGACTTGAATTTTGATACAGTCATGCCTTGGATGCTGAAAAACTTGTGACTCAAACGTTTTGGCTCCCAAATGCTGCAAACCTGGAAGTGAGTGTTCCAGTTGGCGAACGTTCTTTGGAAGCCGAACGTCCAACACGGCTTCTGATTGTTTTTGAACGGTTCCAGGATCGAACCGACTTCCAGAACAGATTCCATTTGACAACCGAGGTACAACTGTACTTCCTAATGGGTTTTGATGACAGATTAATGTTTTGGTTGTTTTTTTATTTTACTTTTGACTCCCAATGTGTCCTCTAAGAGATGTAGAGGGGTTTGCTTTGTACTATTAAAATTGTGCTAATAAACAATTAGACATTAGTGCCAGGGAGAACATTGTGGAATCCATTTTATGCCGCAGCAATAGATGGCATTTCAGCAATGTTTTTTAAAAATGTGTTCAATGCATATCAAAAAGTGGAGTTCAAATAAAAAAAATCCCCTAAATGTTGACTATTTTTAATGACTGCTACATTAACAGTAAGACAGCACTTACAAATTTTGTAAATAAAACCTGCTGTCATTTGGCACACCTGTGGAACAGGTGATGTCAAAGAGTCACACTTTGATGTAGAAAGCAGCAGCATTAAAACTGCACTGCGGGACACTGTGTAGTACGCAAGTTGGAACAAAATAGAATTGCAACAGCCGTCTATTGCTCTTGAACTCCATCTTGACTCCAAAATGCTCAGATCTTCGCACAGCTCCAAGATATCCTTACGCAGAGTCCATGACATCAAAAACCTTCATCACTATAATACAATGAAAAATATCAGTTAATAAGCATAATTTGTAGGTGCAACAGAGCGTGTAATGGTGCGTCTCTGATGATTCTCACATACATTTCAGTCATGTTTTTCTCCATGACAACAGCAGTTGCCAGAACTCCTTCTAGTGTGCCTGTTAGAGGCTCTGTCTGCACAGCTCCGTTCAGTTCTGTAGCCCATGGTCTTGATAACCTAAAAATATGTCAAGATATTTACTACTGAATAGTGCTTGTATTTCATATCGTTGCTTTGCACTATGATGTAATTGTGAAGGACCAGTGTACAGTACAGAACTTCCCTTTACAAAAGGCATTATCTTCATCTACCTGTCCAAAGGCAGCTACATACAAACCTCCATTTCCATTCACATGAATATCATTTTCACTCAGGTGGGAATTGTTGGCCTCCTCTTCCTCTTCCTCTTCCTCTTCCTCCTCACTTGCTGGCTCCGCCACATTCATCTGAAGGTTCACCAGCAACTTCGCTTTGGGAATGGTGGCAAAGTCTGAAAAACGTGGGGTGGTGTTGCACAGGTCAAGCAGCCAAGCAATAATTCACACTGGCCAGTGGACAGAACAGAAAAGCATCTTGAGTAAGAACTTGATATTGTATGTTATTTTTAAATCTTCAAAGGTATCCAAGTGTGGGGGTGGGAGGTGGACTTTGAAGGACTCCTGGCTTTAGCCATAAGAAAACAAATTAATCTACCTTGTGGCCCATGTGGTCTCCAGTACACCCAGCTGGGGTTCCCTCCCATGACCCATGGCCAGCACAAGAGCTTGAAATTTGGAGGCTTTCTTTTACATGGGACTCAGTCATTCCATCAGTACATTGCTCTAAAAAACCCTCATGCTTTGCATGCTTTAATTGAGATTCTGCGATGCTCTTCTCACCACAGAACATGAGTTAAGTGTCTGAAAACAGTGGTAATGGGCAGAGGAGTGCTGTCTCTTATCCAACCCACTGCTTCATTCTTCAGCAGGACTCTAACCCAAAGGTGAACTTCCTCTCCACACCAATACACTTCCTTGCCATGGTGGTTCTGACATGCTGGAATGGTGCCTTCTGAGCACATGAGTGCAGTGTTTAGGAAGCATGGCCCTCTGTTGGAAGGCTGATCTACCAGTTTTCCAGAAGAAGCAGAAATCCAGGAATACACACAAAGAGAAGTCACGGAACCACAGAATTGTTGAGTTGGGAGGGACCGAGAGCGCCATCCAGTCCAACCCCCTGCAGAGCAGGAATCCGTTGCCCAATGTGGGATTTGAACCCACAACCCTAAGATTAACTCACATGCTCTAATGACTGAGCTATCCTAGCTCAATAATCATTGTTTCAGTAAATGTTTTACTTGATGAGGATTTTAAACTGGAATGGCTTCAGTACAGTGGTACCTCAGGTTAAGAACTTAATGCGTTCCGGAGGTCCATTCTTAACCTGGAACTGTTCTTAACCTGAAGCACCACTTTAGCTAATGGGGCATCCCACTGCTGTGCAATTTCTGTTCTCATCCTGAAGCAAAGTTCTTAACCCAAGGTACTATTTCTGGGTTAGTGGAGTCTGTAACCTGAAGCGTCTGTAACCAGAGGTACCGCTGTACTCTCAAAACTAGAGCAACATGTTAACAACTCTTAACTAAACTAGTACGTTTCCGAGCACAATTCAAAGTGTTGGTGCTGACCTTTAAAGCCCTAAACGGCCTCGGTCCAGTATATCTGAAGGAGCGTCTCCACCCCCATCGTTCAGCCCGGACACTGAGATCCAGCGCCGAGGGCCTTCTGGCGGTTCCCTCATTGCGAGAAGTAAGGTTACAGGGAACCAGGCAGAGGGCCTTCTCGGTAGTGGCTCCTGCCCTGTGGAACGCCCTCCCAGCAGATGTCAAAGCAATAAACAACTATTTTACTTTTAAAAGTCATCTGAAGGCAGCCCTCTTTAGGGAAGTTTTTAATGTTTGATGCTGTACTGTTTTTAATATTCAGTTGGAAGCCGCCCAGAGTGGCTGGGGAAACCCAGCCAGATGGGCGGGGTATAAATAATAAATTATTATTATTATTATTATTATTAAACAGTTTCAATGCATACAATTATGACATCAAACAAGCTTAAAACCACGGAAATTAGGAAGCTGCTGCAGATGGTTCTCCAGCAGAAACTGAGAAATTGTACCACACCATTTCCCCCTTCCCCTGAGACCTGGTTATGATGTGCTCTGGAATCCTCTTCGTTTGGCGGTAACACTATTTCATGGTCTGCACCTGCTTTCTCCTCAAGGCCGTGGCAGGCAGTGAGACACCTTCAGCAAGCTTGAAGATGCCCAAAACCTCTTACCATGACATTCCTACACGTGTTAAAGATGCAGTTAGAAGTGGCTGCTTTCTATCCAGGTGATTTGCCACCTGTGCAATGGATAGGCACTTCTGCCAGTAACATTTTAAAATTAATTTATTTGTTAAATTTGTATACTACCCTTCATCCTGGCACCTCGAATAGGATCACTATTGAAATAGAAAATACATTTGTCACAGAGACTTCTTTTTTATTATTATCAGTTTATATACATTTCAATAATTTTACAATCATTTTAACATTTCAAAACTCAACTTCCTTCCCCCTCTTTCTGCGGTTCCTTAAATTTATTTTTTATATTTTCTGCATATTCCAAATTAACTTAACTTACTCATTCATCTACTTTAAAACTATACTCTTATAAAACTGCAGGTTATTGCAACAATCCTGCCAATTTCTTATCTGTTTCCAATTTGTTTGTTAATATTCAATAAACCATTTCCATTCTTTTATAAAAGGTTTGTGCGTCATGAAGACTTCTTGGCAGGGCTGGTTAGAGGCTGGGGAGGATTGGGGCCAGAACATGGAGCCTGCTGGTCTGGAAGGCACTCACCTGGATGCTCACCTGGGGATGGACCAAGTGGGCTTTTCTGGAGGGCTCCCACCTCATTGCCACTGAATGCTCCTACTGTGGTGGAAGAGCTGCCTGAGCACAGCCTCCTGTCAGCGATGCACTCCCTGGGGAGGCACCTGAGACCAAATCAGGCAATGAGTGGGCCACGTTGTCTCTTCCTCCATCACAGTGTCGAATGTGATGGCGGCAGCAGGCCCAGTCTATGCTCAGGAGCACCTGCTGCTTGGCACAACCAATGGCTGTGCCCATGCCGCTCTTCATTCATCCCTAGCCATGTACCTTAGAGCACTATATGTACATCTGAACCTGATCTATGCAATCTGCAGCCTGGTGTATGTCTGGAATAAAGCTTTTGGCAAGAACCAAGCTGAGTACTGTCCATGAGTGGAAGCCAGGAAAGGCTAGAAACAATCCTATGGGATTGCTGCCTCTCCCTGCCCCTCAATGACTCCATTTGGATAATAATTAAAATAGTTCCTTTCATGGACAAATACATGAAATGACTTCCACTCGGTTGGGAGACTGATGAAGCTTCACATTGCCTGGGCTGGGGGCTCTGCTGAAGCTCTGGCCAACTCTAGGGTAGAGAAATGACCTGGGTGGTTGACAGGATCACTCCCAAATGCTCTCCTGCATACTCAAGTTCAGTCAGTCCATTCCATGGGCGTAGCCAAGGGCGGGCAGGGAAGGGCAGCTGTCCCCTTAAATTAATAAAAATCAATAAAAATACATAGCAAACTGTGGTTCTGCCCCCCCCCACAAAAAGCCTGCCCCCCCAAAAAAAAATCCTGGCCACGCCCATGGTCAGTTCCATGGTTCTTTGGGGAGCTGAAAGTGATGCAGCGGCAAGGAAGGCAGCCGGAGCGTTGGTGTGGCAAGACCATCCTCTGGTCCTTTTCTGTTTTTGCCATCGCTGCTTCTGCGCAACATCTGTTCTGCAAATTACTTCAACTGGTGAGGAGGCTTGTTACATTCTGCCCCCTGAGGAGTTCAGTACTCAGTATGAGCAGTTTGCATGACATTTCGCAGATCAATTGCTTATGCTCATTCTGTCTCGGACTCCAGGGTGAATTGCTTCTGGATGGTACTCTGGATCATTTTTATCAAGTTTTCATGAATGCATTTCACTTTGTACAACTTGACTATGTGGACAGAATTCTTGGAGATGCTGTGTAAACACATGTGCTTAACCCCTGCCCTTTCTGAGCTAATTGGCATGCTTGGGAGATTAACTGAGCCAGAGGTTCTCAATGCCTCTTAACGTGAAGGTTTTATTCTCTCACTTCTGAAATAGGTCATTATGAGACAGTAGCAGCTGCCTGAAGTAAACAATATGGCAGGCTGTGAGGGAATGTTTCAAGGGGGAGTCACTTCACTGAGTACTGTAAGAGAAACAGCTTTGGAATGACTGGGAAAGAATTCTGACAAGGACATGTCCCTTCCCAGCTCTAGCTGGGGCTGGAGGTTGTGAAGGGAGACCCAGCGCATTCAATTCTGAGGCCACCTTCACCATCCTGGCCACCTGCCCCCACAAATGTGTGGCGGAAAATGCTTCTTACAGACATGTTGCAACTACCAAAGGAAATCACTGTGCAAGAGCCACCAGGAGTATACCATACTGGTGTGGAAACTCCCCATCAATGTAAGAATTGTTTCTTAGGAAATCAAAATTAAAGAACAATCAGCATGCACATGTCTTATTGTACCTAACACCACATTTTTGTCCAAACTGAGTTTGCTTTGTTTCTACTGAGTGCACAGATTAGGGAAGAATAATATTAAAATCCTAAGTTACATCTTGCTTTATTGAGCAATCTAACACCCGCCTATAGCGAAGGAAGAGAAAAATGAACAGGAGAGTTCAGAGGTATGTCAGAGGTTCATGAAAAACCTTGAAGGCTCTGATCCTAATTCTTACTCAAGCAAAATTCCTTGTACAGTTGACAACCGTAGGTCCAGGCATCTGCAGAATGCCGTCCAATATAAACACTTGCTATGGTCTGCATAACTTCAGCACTTTGATTCAATTTAATAAATGACAAAAACAAATTGCCATTGGTTTATGGAAATGTTGTCCATTGCAGAAAGGAGAATACTCTACTGACCCCTCCAGATCTATGCTGACTGCTTGTCCAAACCATTAATGAGCACCAGAAGTCCACATTTATCAAACATGCTGATTGGTAGGCACCATAAGAGCTTTCAGAGCAGTTTCCTTATTGCAAATGATGCAAGCATTATTGCAATATGTAGAAGTTCTAGAAGCCAAATCTGAAAGGCTCCTTTAGCCCCATTTCTTATTCCTGTTGCTTAGACTAGATGGTCTTCAGACACTAGGCTATGATCCAACCATACCTACATTTCTGTCATCTGAATTTAGATTTAATTAATTTATGTGCCTCAAGCAGATTATGGGTGTTTCTGCTTTGCCTTGACAACCCCAAAGAGAAAAGTCTCCATAACCCTCACATTGAGGTGCACTGAGGGTTTGTGATTTCCCAGGTATGGCAGTGGCTATCCAAAATGAAGCATGGAACTGAACCAAGAGTCCCAGGCTGGTTAGCAAATGGCACTCAACCAGTTTCCCTGCTCTTTGCCCTCCCTCAGTCAACAGGCTTAATTTCAGTTCTAACTACCCTCCATTTTTTCTTTTTTTGCCTGCTTCCTTGTCAAACCGAGCCAGAGGGAATTTCTATAATAACAAACCATGCATATATAGTGGGAAATGAAAATTCTGAAGTCAGTAGTATGACATGCAAAATTCTTTCAGTGGCCCTTTCCATTTGAAACACTTCCCTCCAGCCGAAAAGGGGGCTTGATTAAAAAAAAATTAAAGTGTCTGCAGAATGAAGGAGGCCAGAGCTAAAGCTGTGTCACTAGAGCTTCACATTCCAAATGGTAGCAAAGACCTTGCACTCCATGCAAGCTTGAACTTGCTGATAGGCTCATGGCACCCAGTGGGGAAACCCCCAAATCTGTCTGAGGAGAGGTGCAAAGGAAAACCAAGTGCCAATAAACATTAACAGGGCCTGTTATCAGCCATTCTGTATTTTAATGCAGCTATAAGGACCTGCCTATGGAGGATGGAATCGGTTCCCAGTCAAATGGTTTGTGTCAGCCTGACACCAGACGCCTCTTCGTCTTCCTAAAAGAAAGAGGTTTATGGCCCCTGCCAAATTTAGTTTACAACCTGTGTCTGATACCAGCCATCTCAGCACATGTCTGAGAGAAACTTTCCTGAATTCCAAGGCTAGGATGACTGTTACTTATAGGTGAGACAGTAAGGAAAGCTATGTATTACTATGAGGATTGCTTCACATTTAGAAAGCCCTGTGAATTGAAGAAGATCTCTTGGAAATCTTGAGCCATGAAGATCTAACATAAAGCCACAGAAAATGCTGTGTTCCAGGACCTTTCCTACACAGAACTGTTTTCTGGAACAAAGTCAGGCCTACTGGCTCTCCTTGCCCTCACATATCCGAAAGAGTTGCATGTATGATTACCAGACGTCCCCGTTTCCCGGGGACAGTCCCCGGATTTACAAATCTGTCCCCGGACAAAATCCGTCCCCAGAATTTCCCCAGATTTCATTTAATGTCCCCGGATTTATATTTTAAGTGTTGTAGATTTACTAGTAGGGAATGAATGTTGTGTGATTGGTTCAACGGCACAAGACACATCATACATGTGGGGACTTCCGGTGAGGCAAAATGGTGGGCGCCACAGCAGCGAGCAGCTCATGAAGCCAGCCAGAGCCAACTGTGCTACCAGGCTGGTTCTGGGCTGCTGAGGCTGGCACTGCCACTGCCGAGGGGGAACTGCTGGACCCCCTCCCCCACAACCCAAATTGAGCCGGAAGCGAGAGCGACCGGCCACCCAGCCGACTGCCCAGTGGTGCTCCGGGGCCAGGAAAACCCTGGAGCCAACACAGAGAGAAGGAGGAGAGGAGAAGGAAGAGAGAGAAAGAGGAAGGAGAAAAAGAGGGGAACCCTGACCTTGCTGCACCACTGCCACCGCCGCTGAGGAGGAGAGGTAGGCTGAGGAGGGCAAGGACACGTGGCTGAGCCCAGGTACAATCCAAGCCTACTCTCTCCAAGAGAGCAGGCCGGGGCCCAGAGGAAGGATATTACTTCTTAAGTTTTTTATTTTAAAAAACAACTTTTTCAAAAAAAAACAACCTTTTTTTTCTCTTTTCAAAAAAAAAGTGTCCCTGGATTCTTTGAAAAAAATCTGGTAACCTTATGTTAAATGTCTAAATTTGGTGTGGGGGTAGAATCCACTGAGGGCTACATACTCTGTTGGGGTCACATCCTGGCAGTGAGCAGAGACAAAGTCAATTGTGGGTACCTGTCACCCCCTTTCCCCTCTCTGACACCCCTCCTCTCTCTCTCTCCCACCCCCACTGGAGAGGGGCGGGTGTCTATTTCCAGAGGGCTTCCCCCCCCCCCATCCTGCACATTCACACACATTCTTCCATCACTGTTTGGGCTCCCCCCCCCCATTCCCCCTACTTCTGTCCTCTGGGCTCCCCCACCTGAATGGAATCAGGCCAAGATCTAAATGTTGCTCATTCCTGGTCTGAAGTAGGGAGATTAAATATTGGTTAATAAAATTTTAGTCTACAAAGATATCCTTAACAATTTTAGTGATGGTTTTCGGAGATCTGATGCATCCAATGTGCAAAAACATAGCAAAACTGTGTTTGGTGTATGTCAATGTGCAATTTAAGCAAATGATGGCATATTTAAAATAAAATAAAAATCATAAAAATATCTTATATTTACATAAAAGGTAGTAGAGACAGAAGTTAAAAAGTAAAGCATTGTGCATTGATGAAAAATGAATAAACTGAGGAGAAAATAGAAACACTATCTGGGCATTCCACTATTGCTGCCTGCTATCCAGAATGCCAACAGGAACTGGTGCCCCAGTTTCCTGACTAAAAACAAAAACAATAATCTCTCCAAAGATCCAGAAGGCTTGAGAAAATGAGAAATCTAGCAGGTCACACCAAATGAGTGAGTGGAAGAAATTCATGCAAAAGCAAGCATTTCAGTATTGAGGGGAACTGGATATCTCTTTATAAAGTCATGATAATATGCATATGGACACACACACATAGCAACTTTGGTAAGAAAAATAATAATTGACTAATCACCAGATGAATCTGTCAATAATTAATAATTACAGATTTCTAATAATTTTTTAAGGCATACTGTCGGTTTTTTCCAGAACAGAGCTGAGCAGTCTTAAGCAGCAGAGCCTGCTACTTTGAGGGTTTAAAAAATTATTATTGCAGGACCTACTGGCAATGCCAAACACGAGGAATCTGGCCAACTGCCAGAAGAACTTGGCAT